TATTTTAGAAATATTCTATAATAACAAAATTTAGTGCACAATTTTATTATTAATATATTCTTTATTTAATACTATATGCAATTCTTTATTAATTATATTCATAATTTAATTTTTCGTTAATGAAAGTAATATAAAATTCTAACACAGAATTTATGACGCAGCATAATATCGCGAGGGTAATTTGGAGAAATCAAAAGGTACAAATCCAGCAAACGTCTTTTATCTGTTACTCTCTTATTATTACTTATCTCTTGATCGCAGATTATTTAAACAGAACGTAATATTTATCGACTTTTATCAGACTCTTCTGTGATATCGTTTAGTGTAATTTAAGTTTATTTTGATTGCATATAAATTTTTGATTGGATATTTCTTTTAAAGTAAAATTCAAAAACGTAGTTTTCTGAGAAGCAATAATGAGATTTAAGTAGTAAGTTTTATGCAGATGTAAAGTTTCTCCGCAAGCCTTAAACTTTTAGACGCAAACGCGAAATGACTCGATAAAGTTAAATATATCGTTATATTTTCCGCTATATATTTTCTCCACGTTAATTCATTGCGGCATTGCGTCGAACTTTAGTCGTTTATTAAACAAAAATGGATCATTCGCAACTTCTTTTATTATGCGAATTTTATTCGCAAACGTGTTTATTTCATATAAAAAACTCATAAAAAATTTTATAATTCTGTTATAAACATATTATAAAAAAAAGATGAGTAAGACACTAAAATGTGTCGATGAAAAGTATCCGCAACAGTAAAATAGGTACTGGCATCGAACGTTCCGAAATGCACGTGTAAAAACGTTCCAGCATTTTTCACTAGATGGCAGGAGCTTGCAAGCTCCGCGATAGCTCACTTCTACTCTCGAATCGAGCATGATGATTAACAAGATTTTAAATAATCGATGAGACACCAACCCGATCAGGCGTTGTCGCCGTTATTGAGTCACCGATAAAATTAAGTGGATCACTTTGCCTGATGGGAAACAGAGCGCTCTCTTAAGGCGCTACGCGACCTCCTTTAGTGACGATAGCTGGAATTACCGATGGATTTTCATGCAGCGCTGTTAACACAAACCTAGCTTTATAGCCGTCGATATGCGAGTAATCCAAAAATTACACCAACAATCGCGAAGTCCATATAAACTTTTCTCATCGCTGGGGTGTACGAAACCATATTTTGAAGTTAATATAGCTTTCAGGTATATTCCATTAAGATTGAAGGAATTTCAAAAGTTATATATTCGATAAGTTTTATACCCTTATTTGTTGGCTTCGATTTTTAACTGCGTGAGATAGTATGGTTTCAGTAAAGTTAATAAATCCCATACTATAAAAATAAATAAAAACTTCATTTTCTTTTAACACAAATTGAAAGGCATCTCGAGCCATCGCTGGATGTTAGTGCGAGAATTATTAATATTTTTCATACAGAAAATTAATTTGTGTGTGTCTACTAGAGACATTTTTCATTTTCTTTTATGTTCTTCTTTTATTTGATCCCTGTTCGATGATATAGCAAATAATTTTTGTGAAATGCAAGGAACATATTTTTTTATTTTTTTTATGCTGACAACAGTCATCTATATGCTGAATTTTCATATTATCGGACGGTGATTTTTTTTTTTTGACATATCAGTTAAGAATCAATGTTTACAGTTTCTATTTTCAACAAAAACGACTGTTGCAGAAAAGTTATCGTGCATGTGGAAATTGTCCCCACGATATCGAAAGCATGGATATTGATCAGAACTCCTGGCGGTAGCTTGCGATTTACTCTACACATGTCAATCGGTGTCTGTGTTTAACCGCGATGTTCAATTTACCCTGCGGCGGGGTCGCTTCCGGTTTTCGGCAAGCCATTCGCTACTTCCCAATCCTGTCATCGCGGTTGTATAGAAGTGTCAGATAAGATCGCGGAAAGCTGTTGATATCGCGCAAGAATTTCTGTTCAAATAAATTATCGATATAATAAAAAGGCGTTAAATATAACTAACGATATATGAAATAATAAATTATTGTATATTATTTACTTTAAATATTTCTAATTTGATAAAACGAATAATATAGAAGAAATTCACCAAATTTTCGCAAAATTTTTGTCTTAGTATTCCGTTGCTTTTTTTAGTTGACGGTAATTATGTTAAAATTCAGAAATATACGAAAATGTCAAAAAAAGCATTTAAATCTACGCATTAATATTTATCTATCATTATTTATCTATTATTTTCAGCAAGTTTAAAGATTATTATTTTCCGAAGAACGAGTCACGATATATATTTTCTTTCTTGCCCGAGGGAGAATTTCTCTTTAGAAAATCTTTATTTCAAAGATACAAGCAGGATCCGCAAAAATGAGATGCTTCTCCAGGAAATAGTCGCAAATGACCGAACGCAATAGTCGTGCATTTGTTGAGTATCAGCACACTTTACTTTGCAAGTCTCTGCATCGCCAGTTCCATTAATGCCATTTCTGCACTGGCGTTAAGAATTTTCCTAGAAAATTTAATGGACCGGTAAATGTTGCAGCTGCGTCATGGCAGAGATCGACATCGCTCAGTGAAGACACCGAGTAATGCAGCGCGACTTTTCTCGGTCAATGTATTCATCGGGAGGCGTGTATGGCGATGACTGATCGTAACTGTGGCGTGTGTCGGTGAGTGGTGCGACGTGTGGTGATGTCTGAGCGGCGCCTGGCTGTCGTCCAGCTTTTCTAACGTGATTTACATGGCAGAGCTGCGCCCGACGTCTCTCTTTCTTTCAACGGAGCGCAGCAGCATGAAAACATCTGATTTTAACTCGATTCCGATTTTTCATAAATTCAATGAGTTCCAGAGAGGATTTTCGCCAATAGGAATTTTTTAAGGTGGATCGATCATCGATATGCTCAACTGTCATTTACCGCGTGCGGTTATGAACTGGCGAGATATTTTCAGAGAATTTAAATTCCCCAGAATATTGAAATTACGGCGGAAGATTTAGATAGAAATCGCGTCACAATACTTTCGAATATGTGTTCGTGTATTAAATTTTAAATATATATGGCTTCACAAAAAAATATTTAAAATTTTAAGCTGTATAAAAGCGCAATATTAAAACGTAATTTTTATATCAGATTATATTCTTTGCATTTTTAGAACTTTAAAAATTAAAACATACATAAATTTACATATTATTGAATTAAATAAGATTAACTAATAAGAATAATCAATTCAGCAAAAATAATATAGTTAAGATTTTTCCTAAAGATTATATAACATTTTATATTGTTTTACATATCTTCCAAAATTGCAACAGGTAAAAATAAAAATTAAATATAAAACGCACTTTTGAAGCACTTATCTTTTGAAGTTTTTTGCCTTCTATAATCAATATTTTTGCATCAATTCGCGTGATGTAATTTTGTCCCATTCAGAATTAATTGAATGTGAAATTGTACGGCGGGTCACAGCAGATGCGAACAAATAGATGTATTTTATGCACTTTCATCCATCAGAACCCACAATAATTGGAAAGCTTGTATTTTACTTCCGTCCATTCGCGCTATATGAAATTGATACGAAGTTTCTGGCGTCAAAATATTCACCGTAAATATCAATGTTTTAAATTCTCAATGTAAATATATAAAAACCACAACGTAATACAAATTATGGAATTACAGTTTGTAAAATGTTTACATTGTTTTGCTAATAATGTAAACAGTTATTTTAACCGCACGAAATTTGGACGTTGCAAGTCTGCAAATCTTTAATCGTAACACCAAATTTATATATATTATACAAAAAGAAATAAATTAAAATATGTAGAATATGTAGACGTTAATGATAAAAAATAATGACTGCTTATAATTGAGTTGAAATTACAAATATATACATGACTTTTATCATTTTGCATTTTTCAAAAGCAATAACAAGAATTAATTTGACTTGCAAACGTCGTATATGTGAAATTGAATTTATTGTTCTCTAACTATTAATTCATTATTTGCATAATGCGTCTATTATTTGCTTTAAACCATTTTAGATTTATCTTCTTTGGGATTAATAATCTTAGTCTACATGCTTTGCGTATTTGACTTTAACTTCCTGTATGCTAATTAATTATCCTGTATTACTTGGCATTCTCTACGCTGCTTCATGTTGCAGCAAATGAATGGTGGTGCAGTAGATGAATAATGCCGCATAATATAAACATTATTTTTTGGAATTGTAATCTGCATCTTGTTTTAAAGTTTCGTGAAGAAATCAGGGCTACGTAAATTATAAAATGATAAATCCAAATGATTTCTGTTTCATATTTTCTTGGCAGCGAAAAATCGCTTTATTACACGAATAAAGTGCTAATTTGTACCCCAGAGACACGAAGAATGAACGATACTAGCGAAGGGAACGTGTAATCCAACATTTAAGATTTAGTCCGATAAAGACCAAGCCCCCATAAAAATCTCCGAGACGTCTCGCGAGATAGATTCAAATCGATCTATGAGATTTTCTGTCCTTCCCTTTAATCTGACATTGCACGATTTCTTGCAATTTAAAAAGGATTTACGGCTTTGCACATAATTTTCCATACGATCGCAGTAATCAAAATTCATCCTTATAAGACACCTTGTCACTTGCGAGTTAACGGAAGATTTATATGTAGGATTTATTGTATAAAATCTCCGTAAAATTGAATATTAAGCAATTGTATATAATAATAAATATACAACGCACTGAAATTGATGATAAAGATTTTAGAATTCTTGCAAGCAATATTAATTCAATAGAAATGCAGTTTTTTTTTCATATGCGTATATATGAAAAAAAAATCCAATAACTTCGCATTAAAAGCATTGTTGCAGCTTTAGCTTTCAACCTTTTTGCAATCTCTTTTTAATTAATTGCATAATTTAGTATAATTTTGTAACCCGTGTAAAAAAAAAGAGAGATGTAGTATGATAAAATATCACATCAGTAATAGATAACGATGTCATCAATCAAATAAAATTGACACTCACCAGTAGGACTGGGTGTGAGCTCCTTCATCGCTATTTTGACGTGTAGATCGTATCGCTGAAAAAGTCCCAACCTCGGACCTCTCGTGCTTTTCTGTAGCACGTTGATGGCGGTGGTGACTGCTCTAGTATACTCCCTTGTGCCGAACGATTTATACGGCACCATCATGCCCACCTGTTACACAAATGAGGGGGAAAATATAAAATTTCGGCAAGGCGCGTATTAAACACACTCTTACTCTTATGTGCGTCACGCGCTTCTACCTGGTTTTGGTCAGTGCGAAAACGAACGTCGACCGACAGGTGATAAATTGGTTCCGCCACGGACGAGAAAGATCGTCAACAGGTTGCACAAAACGATATTTCGAGAAGTTTCGGCCGAGATGTCGTAGTTGACACGTTCGCTATGTTACAAATGGCTCGAGTTTAGGAGAGCGAGTGCTATCGCGTTGTCCGTGACGTGCACAATTGCGTCGGGGAACGCGCATCCGTTGTATGTCATATTATTTTATCATCACCATCATCGTATTATGTCATGTGCTGAATTGTGTTAAGTCTCGAAATTACATTATAACTTGTAATATTCTAATTCTGTGTATCAATTTGATTAGATCGCTACAATTATTTTATCGTGTTACCATTTATATAATTATATTTAATATTCTTCATTAACTCGATGATCAATAACTATATTTAGCTTATATGAAGTTTGCCTATTTCCTTCTAGTTATATATGTTCTTTAGAAAATAACATGAAAAATTAAATCAAAAAGTAATATTTAACAATAAGAATTGGAACAAATTTCAATCACATCAAGATCAAAGAAAATAATTTTTAAATAAACATGATAACATTTTTTTACGTCTTGAACAGACTTACATGAGATTTCTAAAAATTCTGGAACTTAGAATCTGAAACTAGTAGAAGAAAAAATTATAAGAATCAAAACGTGAATGTCGGAACACAAAAAATTTATTACAAATCAATTCAGAAACATTTCAGTTCAATTTTTGAGTGCTTTTCCGTTTGATTGAACTGTAACTTCTTCTTTCTGTATCGATTTGTAATACATTTTTTGCCTCTCGATGTCCGCGCTTTGATTCTTATAGCTCTTTTTCTGTTAGCTTTTTGTTATCAAAAAACCATATGTCACACTATAAAACCTAAAAGTATAAAATAAAAAATTTACGGGGAATTATGATGTCCAAGAAATATTTGCAAATTTTGAATCGTATCTAAATATAAGAAAAAAAAATGTGAAAGATTTTAATATATTCTATTATTTGATTGTTATATTCTACTATTGTAATTGTTGATGCAATTATGTTATATTGGATGATCAATATTTCCTTTGTCTAGTGTTTTGTGTAGCGATTTTGATAATAGGTAATTATGCAGCATAATATACACCTGCTATAATTCAACAATAGAGTTGATTATAATTTTCAGTTTATTTAGCGTATCGCAATCGACAATGCATTAAGTGTTTAAAGCGATCAGAAAACTGCAGCAAGGGCATCTCGTTCACTTTATTACCGCAAGAATAGACTGCCGCGCACCTGTTGCATAAATCGATCGGTGCGAATGAATGTATGTAGGCTGAGAATGGACAACTTACGTTTCGGCCTATCAACGATATCGATAATTTATCAAAGACTTTATTATAAATGAAGTAAATATTCTAGAAAAGCTAAGAGTTTCATCGATATTCTGCGCGCGCAACGTTATGTTCTAGTAATATAAAATTTACAAGACACAAGCAAAAAAATAAAGTATTAATTCTTTGATCGTTAAGAAGACTTTTAAAACAATATTATGTTATTGAATGATTATTTTTAATGCAAAAATATGGTCAAAAAGTATTTGTCTTGTTAAAAAACTATCTAAATCCATAGTATATACATAAATCTATAATTTCTTCTCTTATGTATAATTTTTCTGAGATTAGTAACATTTTCCACAGATATTTTCATTCATGAAAATTATTTATTGCAACATTTATTAAAGTATGTTGTGATATGTATTCTTGCATTGCTTAAATAACGGATTTCATTCAGATAAGTGGCGTTATCCATCGATTATCGCTAATGAATTGTGCTGTGAATCAATGATCATAAATCTATCGGCCATTATTAAGCACTCTATTCCGATGTGTAGACAGGTACTTACTGCAATCAGTGAATGAAGACGAGGCTATAAATTTTGCCATTGTGCGGCAGCTCAGGTTTAAAATATCGAGAAAAAATTCATGAATGAGAGCCGAGAACGAGAGATCTCCTGAGAATTTCACTTCGTGTAAGTCCAAATACAAAAAGTAACGAGATAATCATTTCCCGATTAAAGCGAGTTATTAACTTGACGAATTCATTAATATTCATTAAAAATAATTATTTCCGCGGTAAGCATTCTCGAGGCGCTAAGTCGAAGAACTTATCGTCAACTGTGTGTGTGTGTGTGTGTGTGTGTGTGTGTGTGTGTGTGTGTGTGTTTCAACGAAACTCGGTGTGATAATTCGTACAGAGACTTAGTATAAATTAGATAAGCGGATTTACCTAAAATAATTCACCTAAGAAATTTAATTAAAAATTCACTAACATAAAAAGGGACGAAGAAGTTCGTGAAGTAAGAGTGGCACAATATAACAGTTATCACAAAGTTATGAAAACGCAAAAAAAAATGTAAAAGATAATTAAATTACATCGAAACTCTATTTTAAAAAGATTAGAAACTAAATATATTTCGAAGATAACTCTGGAAGATAATTTTGTTGCAAAAGTAACATACTTTTTAATTGAACTGAAATTCTATGTGTGTGTGTTTTTGCTTTTACTTGTGCAATTATATTTTTTAATGCAAAATGTAATGTAACCTTTAATATTCTTTTAATAAATTCCTCTTGAATAAAGAATGTAGAATATCCTTCTATGATCGTAATTAATTTTAATAATTTTTTTGAGGAATTCGGAATCAGAAGGGAAATTTTTACCTTGAGGTCGGTGACGTTGTAGTTATTTGACACAGAAGACTGCGGCGTGTATGTGAAGCGTGCAGGAGGTACGGTCGTAGTTGTCGTAGTCGGGAACGGCCGTTGCCTCGTAGAATTTGAGAGTCTGCCTTCGCCAATACGAACCGCCGAATTACCTCTGACCACGTTTATACCCTTGGGAACCGTACCCCTGCTGGTCCCGACCTTGATGCCGCCCTCTCTAAAGGTGCTACCCGGCGGACTACCTAACACCAGCAACGGCGACATCACCAACGAGAGGATCCACGCGGTCTTCATGGCGTGAAATTTGTTGTTCGAGGCAACGATCGTTTTTGCCGCAACACGTCGATCCGACGATCGATTTGATCTCGTCCCTCTTCCTCGTGTTACCTCGATTCGGATGCAGCACTTCCATTCAAAACACCCTTTTCAGCGTCGCAGCAATGTGACGCAACTGCGTGCACGCGGATGTTTGCCACCGTAACGTCGTTTCATCGCGAATTAGTGCATCTGAAATAGAGATTAATTGGAAATTTGTTAGTTATAGAAACAATTTCAAGCATGAAAAAGTATTGATGTTGAATTGAAAAATCAAGAGTATTTAAGAAATATCAATTATATAAGAAAATTTCCTTAATGTAATATTTTTTAGTAATTTGCACAAATTATAAAATAATAATTTTGTTATTTCTTTCTTTTTCTTTTAAGATAATATTCCTTTAATTTTGTCCAATTATACATCTAAAGACTAAAATCCGCTAATATTTTTTACAGCTGTAGATTCTTTTTCCTCTCTTTCTCTCTTGATCGTAAATTTTGATCTTTTCAATTATACGAAACCATTTTGTAAACTGAAGGACCGACTAAATACACAAGGGCGAGGAAGGTATTTTAAAGCAATCCCTGATATTTATTGCCAAAGTGAGCGCTTTAATTGAAAGAATCTTTAATTTTGTTTTCCTAATTTCACGATGGGGAAATACAAGAAAGCTCATTCTAAAGGCGCTTAATTGCGATTCACTTCATCACTTTTGTACAAGTATCTCAATTGAGAGTCACAGTTCGGCTAATCTACAGATAGAACCGCAAACTTTTCAAACAACTGTTCGAACCACAAACTTCGCACGTAATAATCTAAGATTTTGCTTTACGAAGAATTGCGTTTGGAAGCATCGAAGCGACAGATGGCCGTATGTAGTAGCCAATTTCCCATAGGATTAGTCAGATAAATCGATCGGTCATCGCTATCTGTCATCATACATGGATGAAATGTTCTACCTGACAGATTGAGTCTATCACGGATTGAGTTTGCAATGTTGATGGCGTAAATCTGTAAAATCTAATCGGATAAATTCCAATTTGATGGACTTGCAGTTTTGACGTATTTCGTTTCCGTGGATTAAAACTACGAAATCCCTCCGATCAAAATAATAACGAATTGTTTTAACTAATGCTTTTATTTCTTTTGTGCGTTTTATAAATTTTCTCTTTTATTATATATCTATATATAATAAAACAATTTCAAACAGTCATTTATCACGGATATTTTTCGACCTTAATTGAAGAAATTTACCAAGATGTTGATTTTTAGATTTTCTTGCGAATATTTCGGCTTCCAAGTTCCGAGCGAACAAAACTTTCGTCTCGCGTACGTTCAATGGCAACCAGTTGGTGATTTCCAGGTCAAGAGAAAAAAGATTGTATGAAAAACTTTTAATTCAGAAATCCGGACGTGTAGAGGACCGTGTAAATTGGACACGTGTAAACTCAGATTCACTAGGTTTCTTATTCAAAATTATTTTAACAAATTGTATGTGCATCATGTGTATATTATTGATTACATGCGCTACATTTTATGTATATAAACTATTTAAATATTTTTAACATTATATTTATAACAATTAAATAATTAAAATTTTAGTGAAATGTAATTTTCAAATATAATTTCCTCGCTACAAGAAATGAAAGGATAAAGTTTTTAATTTTTAATTCTATAAATTTTAGAAGAATTATTATAATTTGTATGTTTTTTCTAAATATTATAAATAAAAATTAAATGCATATGTTTATCTCAATCATATATTTAAATATTAAGTCATTATACTTAAATATCAAATATTTAAGTATAAATTAATTATACCTTGTTGCTTAGTATAATTAATTAATTATACTTTGATATTTATTATAATTAATTAATTACACTTAAATATTTGGTATTTAAGTATAATTGCACCGAAATATTTGATATTTAAGTATAATTAAGTATATAAAAAACAGAAGTTCATAAACTTTTTAAAAATTTTTCTTATTTTATGGTGTGAAAATTATGGTTTTTCTTTCATAATACGTGGCGTAAGACGATATTGATTAGTCTTTTGAAGCGTGGTTGCCCTTTTAAGTTTAAAGCTTAGTCGAACTTCAACCCTCAAACTTTTGACAGTAAACTCGTACTGATATTTGTATTTAAAACAATACAAGAGATAAAATACAATTTTTGTTTTTCCGATTAAGTAATCTATAATAAAAGCTCTGAAAGTATGTGGAATTGTATTATTATCATCAATAAGTAATCTTTCATTAACCGGCATAAACTCGTCCCATATAAAATAAATGATGTGCTGTCGATAACAAAAATGATATACGGTCGATACTTCCTGCTTTATTTCTCGATTGTTGGACCTGCATTGAGAATGACATTTGTTTCAACTTTGACACGTTGGCAGCTATTTCATTATTGCAGTGTTTCTACTACGTAGACGCTGTCGATTCCGGCTGCAATTTATATTTTGAACACGTGCGATATAATGTGATGGGTATTTTTAAATATGTCTGACTATCTTTCTCGGGAGCTGCCATTAATCATTGACATCGTGATAAAGCGATTTATATGGAAATTGCAATAATAGAAGCATTATGCGTATTAATGTCGCATGTGAATTCGATTTGTAATTTACGTGTAATGCACTTAACTTTACATGCAAATAATTTTAATTCTAGGTCGGTATTATACATTCAAATGTAAAACGAACGGATTGATTCAAATTCAGTCGCAAGGCATTCTGTTGCAATATTTCTACCAGCATGATAATTTTTATTTCGATATTATATAAACGGAACATCTGATTGAAATATCTTACAATCAATGAAATTTTAATGTTTTTTACTTTTTATTTTTTTTTTCTGCCACGTAAAAATGCAATTTACATGTATAATTTAAATATGTCTAATAATAAACCATGTTTAAAATTTTGCTTTAAATTGAATATACTAATTATATCGCAAGTTATTGATAATTTAACTTTTAATAAAATAGATATTTTAATATATAACTAATAATAAGTATATTAAAAAAATTAGAGAACATTTTTTAATGGCTTTAAAGAACTGCCAGTTATACACAACTAAGGATAAAAGGATTTAGTTCTTGTCCAAGTAATTGATTCATGACCAAGAAAGTTATAAGAATAGACAACACAGCGACAGTTATAGTCTCTCGTTACATAAATTCTTCCTAAACTTTTTACGAGGTTAGAACACTACAAAGTGACACTAAGAGTTCTGCGCGAACGAATAAATAAAAGAATGTTAAATAAATAAATAAATTTCAGTACTACGATTATCTGTGTGTTTTTACAGATTTTATGACATTATTTTTACTTACTGTGTCATTTTACTTTTTTATATGTAGATACGTTTATTGTTAGGTCAGGTCTATCCTAAGTTATTGCCAAAGTTCACTTTACTCTTCTTCTTTGCTTTTCGATTTTCGTTGGAAGGTGATTTCCGAAGTCAAATATTTGCTCACTGTCGCAGACTGCGCAGCGAGATTTAATGATTGTCACTCGCAAGGTCGAATTTATTCATATTAGGATATTAAGATACGTATTACTTAAAAATATATTAATTGTTTGTAACATAGTCACAGAAATTCATAATATCAGACATAAAATAATCTGTTTCAGAAAATTTCACAAAATTATATATTTTTGTGCAAATTTTACAACATTATATATTTTTTTATATGCGATTTTATTTTACGTACTTTCGTGTTGTAAAAAAGCTCATTACGTTCTACTTAAAAATATTATTCTATCAGTAATTCAAGGAAAAAACAACATTTTTAGTTTTATAATGTTGTGCAATTAATCCCTTATAGGATAAACATTTACGTATATCTGGCATTTCTCTTTGGAAGCAGACAACCAATCGACAGACGATTAGAGTGGTTCGTAGAGAGTATTAGCACAAGTGTATAGTGACGATACGGTTGACTTTTCGCCGTCACGTATTGCTTTGACCCGCGTTTATCTTCCCTCACGTATCAGGTTTCGCGATATTGAACCGCGCCCCATATGGATGGGCTTTGGTAAACCGACCAACGGCTGTCGCGGATTCCTGTGGCTTAGCTCTATCTCTAAACCCTTGTACCCTCTATTAAGGTAGCAAACTAACCGCTGCCGTAAGGGGAGTTTCTACCCGCGGCTATCCATCGATCTATTTGTGATAATTACACATCCAATTAACAAGCTTGATTATAGACGATGAATATTGCGTGCATTCTCGCGGAGTTTTGGTTGATAACCTTAGCAATCTCTCTTGTATTTGCTATATATTGATATTTCAAATGACGATTCATATGATGGTTCTGATGTAGAAATGTTAAAAACAATTATAACAGCTTTTTTTGAAAAAATCCACGGAAATTTAGGAAAAATACTATTAAATGATGCAAAAAACTTACAATTTAAAAATCAATTTTGATTCATAAAGATTCAAGAACTATATAACTACTTAAAAATCCTTTTCAATAATTATCGCTCAACTATCCCTCTGAGATATCTGATAAAAAATAAATCATTACTATAACTATTCTCTTTATCACTTCTACATTACAACAAAATACTGTTTAAAATAATTGAGAGAATTTCTGCTAATTTCACAGAAACGTTGCGTCAAGTTTCAAAGTGCACCATGCTGTGTGAAAAGAGCGGAAGCTACGCTGAACGCAAACTGCGAATATAATAAACTGGAAATGACTGAAGTTAGCGCGAACAATGTACTACAAAATGTTTAGTAGTGACACAGTTACGGTAATCAGTAATTTTTTGTAATGCATTCTTTCGCAGATTTTTTCAATGCAACTGACGTTATGATCCACTCTAGAATGACTAATATCGCAAATATATTTTGCCAACATGCTACTAATTGATGTATTCTATTCGTTTTTTCACAATATTTTTACTCTTTCTATTACTACGAGAGTTTATATCATTTATGTATTTCACTACATTCTCTATTTTTCATGTACATTCTTGTCAAACAAATTATCATGAGAGCTGCGACACCTACGATACCTACGTTTTTATTGGTATAATGCAGAGATTGCTAGTAGAAAGTGGAAACACATGGGTCTGATTACGGACTTTCGACGTGATTAAGCAGTTCATGCAGTAATTACGTAGATTAATTAACTTGATTGCAATTAATTACAACAATGATGATTATTAGTG